CTTACACTTGAGGGAGGTTCTGTTGAGAAACGAAGTTTACTTCTTAGTTTCATATTCTCCATGAACTTTTGAAGACCCCTTGGAAACAAAGGCCCAGAAAAGTTCAGCAACCTAAGATGACACATTTATGAGCAAAACCCCAGATTATTAGACAGATTCCTGAACCCAGTGTTCTCTGAAGTTTTTGTTTGGTTTTTACTTTAAAAGTACAGGAAATTATGAGTTCATCCCTGCTCCTGGAATTCCTGAATACAAGCTTCACTAGCTTGAACTATTATGTCACTTCTAAGTCTTCCTATGGTGCTTTCTTCCCCATTAACACAACCTCACTCCAAAAGTAAGATTAGAGGAACACTTTTCCCTAGTTGAGATATTTAAGGAATTTAGGTACAGAAATTCATCACTATGTGAAATAATTAAATCGACTTTCTCCTACCAAGTAGAATATAAATGCACTTTGAGTTCCAACAGTTACTCTACAGGTGAGGACAAATTACAAAAAACTTTGCTCACATAACAAATAATTATATTCTCTAGTATTATTTTCTATTTGTATCATGTGATTACTGCTTAAAGCTTCCCATGAACAGATTCTAGATCTTCAAGTTTATTGGCATCAACAATGAATGCCGTCATGACCTTCAAAAACGATTTTTTTCAACATAATAAGCATGTCCATACATGTAACAGAACAGGGAACTCATATAGGCAGTTGCGTGGTTTGCAAGCATACACACACACACACACACACACACAGTAAAGCGTGCATTATTTGTGTAAAAATAAGACGTGATCTACACTAGAGAAACCTATGTGATTTTTTTTTCTTTTTAAAGATCATGTTCTTATATTTCAGGTGTTCTTATGTGGAAAGAAAACAGTTGTTTCCAATTGATGTGTGTATGGATTGTGATGAGTTGTATGAGCCCCTAATAAGATGATTTTCTTTTTAATTCCATTTAACTACAGAAGTGTATATGAATATTCCATTAGGAAAACTACTAAAAAAAATAAAGACAGAAAGAAATCAGAGGGAAAAAAAACAAAAAACAGTTGTTTCTAAGTCAATAAACAGCATTCCTCCTCCTTCCTCCCATTGCTAACTCTCCTTTCCAACACAGATACACAACACACACTCACAGCATGACAATACTTGAGGTTGATTTCACTACAAGTAAGACCTTAGCGTTTTCATCAGTGGTCTGGTCCTATCCTTGCATGATCTAATACACGTTGGCAATAAAAAAAAGTGTTATTTACGTCTCTGAAGTCACTTGATGTGTGAACTAGTTATGGACCAGGTTGCCAATGGAAAAGGAAAATATTTCTCCTCTTCGTTTTCCCTATTACTAGCTCACTGCAAAGGGGAACATTTCTCAAGACTCAAAGGTAGTAAAAGGTGGGTTCTTGCTGAAAATGGATTACATGATAAGTGAAAGACTCAGGAATCACTTCTTTTATTGCATTTAAAAAAGACTGTTCTCAGTTAATAATGGGCTGGTCATACCACTGATCAGATTGCTTGAGCTCATTTATTTTATAGAGGAAAAGTGAAGTACTAGAAACTGCTTTGGCACAGGTTTAGAAGTGGTTCATACTTGCTCATTTCTATCTGGGTTTTTAATATTTACCACTCAAGTTCACCAAGTTGCACTGAGGTAAATGACAAGGAGGTGCAGGGTGGGGACCACGGTAGAGGGATTGGGACCTGAGAACGCAATGAAAAAACAAGCTGGATGCAACACAATCAATCACATCCAAAACTGTTTCAGAAAACAAATACAGAGCATATGTAAAAACAAGAAACCACACCGGCTTGTGTGATCATGAGGTGTCGATAGGATTCTTTGATCCTATCATTTTAAGTGAGGGGGAGTGCTGAGTGGAGACCCAAAGTCCATCTGTAGACAACTGGACATTCCCTTACAGAAGGGTCACGGGGAGGAGACAAGCCAGTCAGGGTGCAGTATAACATCGATGAAACATACAACTTTCCTATATTTAATGCTTCCTCCCCACCCACTATCATGATTCCAGTTCTACCTGACAAATCCAGCTGGATCAGAGCATGTACACAGGTACAGATAAGAGCTGGAAACACAGGGAATCCAGGACAGATAAACCCCTCAGGACCAATAATGAAGAGCAGCATTACCAGGAGGGGAAGGAGAAGGTGAGGGAAAAAGGGGTAACGGATCACAAGGATCTACATACACCCCACTCGCTGAGGGACAGACAACAGAAAAGTGGGTGAAGGGAGAAGTCGGTCAGTATAAGACATGAAAAAATAATAATTTGTTATTATCAAGGGTTCGTGAGAGAGGGAGGGTAGGGAAAAAATGAGAAGCTGATACCAAGGGTTCAAGTAGAAAATGTCTTGAGAATGATAATGGCAACAAATGTATAAATGTGCTTGACACAATGGATGGATGGATGGGCTGTGATGAGTTGTATGAGCCCCCAATAAAATGATTTAAAGAAAAAAACAACCACCAAGAAATCCAGTGATACTTTTCAGAAGGCACCACCATGTTATATGTCAATGTCCCACTAACAGGTCAATATATAATCATTGAGGTTTACCGTCATTGCTGTTTATCAGATACCTTGGGCACTGTAAATGGACAGACATGTGGGACACAGCTCTAGAAACCCGCCATCCTCTCTCCAGGGCGTCTAAGTTGCAGTGGTGACTGGATATGATCTAGTCCAGTGGTTCTCAACCTTCCTCATGCCGTGACCCTTTCATACAGTTCCTCATGTGGTGGTGAATCCCCCCCCCAACCATAAAATTATATTCATTGCTACTGCATTACTGTTATTTTGCTACTGTTATGAATCGAGCAACCCCTGTGAAAGGGTTGTTCTAACCCCAAAGGGGTCGCGACCCACAGGTTGAGAACCACTGATCTAGGCCAAGAGCAAACAAATCCCATTTCCAGACTATAGTAGCATCCGTGCTAGGCTCTCATGTTGCAAATACCACGTGGTACCACCTAGATCCAAAGAAATAATGGTGTATTTTTAATTTAAAAATAAAAAGGTAGGAAGGGGCACAGAATAGAAAAGATAGAAGCCAAATTGTTGGCTTTTCTAAATTTACGTTTAAGAATCAAGGGCAAAAACGACTTTCTACACACATATGAAGCTAATTCACATGTGAAACTTTATTAAACCTGGTTTTATATATATGGGACTTTAACAGCTTAAATTTTCCACAATTCACAATTTTCGAGCCCTACTCCAAATTGTCATTTTTCCCTTTAAAAGCTGGGTAACCCTGCCCTTTGAAAAAGGGGCACTCAACTTCTTTAAGTACTGGCTGACAAACTATAAATTATTGACAAAGCGGGAACTTTCTCCACATGTAAAGAATTGCACATGGAGCCTAAAAACGTTGAGAAAACCCTGTGAGCTGTTATTTCTCGGAGACTCATCAACGACAAAATCGGAGAACTGCAGCAGAGCAGAGGCGCCGTGCTCATCACACAGCCCCTCCAGCACCCGGCAGTTTCTCGTCACCGGGTTTCAATCATGCCATGCAGGGATTTGTCGTTCTCCTGAGGCACAAACCTGAACCATGCAAGCACAGCGGAGATTGCATTAGCAAGGGAGGGATCCTAGCCAGCTGCCCAGCACCTCCACCTCTACATGACTTCGTGACACTGCAGACTGGAGGGAAACCAAGGATGAACCACACAGTGGGAGGAATGACCACCACGCCCAAGAAAGCGAACTCCCAATGCTAGAACTGCACTAACAAATGGAGTGGTCTGCCAAGTGCTGAGGACCTGTCCTTTGAGAATGTCAACGATCTGCCTTCACCACCCCCCTTTCCTATAACCTTTAACAAAATAGCTTATAACCAAGGCAGTGAACATTAACTCTGAAAAAGATAAAATGCATACATTAAAACACTAATACTTAAAAAACTGCATTTTCGAGGGGCTGTTTGGGAAAACCATTTTAAATCAAGATTTCACACAAAATGTTTTAATATTGAAGATTAATGTTATAAATGACTGATTTCCTGGCTGAAAATAATGCTTTATAGAGTACACCAGCATTTATTTAAGTGGATCAAATCTTATTTCATTAATGTCAAAATTACAGATGTTAATTTTAAAAATTATTTGTTCTTCTCAGCATTGATCTAAATTTGTAGTCCAAAACCAGATCGCCATGGCTTTTAAATAAATCTGAAAACCTCACAGTATCAGTTAAATGACACCTAAATTTTAAAACGTCAGAAGGTAAACTCAACAAGAAGCTATTTATGGTTGGAGAGTGCCTCACTGTTCCTCAGATCTCCAAAAAGAATGTATCTAGCATGTGAAGAACATAGATTATTCCCAGAGAGCCAGCCCCCATCCATCCAAGACTCTGAGAAGTAGCTATGTTTCTCACTATCCTCACAATGGTGTAACAGCTCATGGATCACTAAAAAAGGCAAAAATTTAAATGTATCCCAGGTGGCCCCACAAGTACTTGAAGACTTTTACAGAGACCAAAAGGCACAAAAATATGGTGCTTTCTTCTGTAACATCAGATTAGACGGTTAAATGATATTTTATATAGCTTGGCAAACTGAAAACATGAAGTTGGTTAGTTACCTTGTAATCCCCATCGAAATCATAAATCATGCACATTTTTTTGAGATGAGAACTCAAGACACATGCATACCAATTCTTATGGACCTCTAAAGTCAAAATGTTACACAGTATATAACACTCAAAATGTTACACAGTATATGAAAGTACTACTACAAACCAGGTTGTATGAGCCACAGAAAAAGCATTTACAGAAATGGGCTTTCATAGAAAAGCTTTTGCTCTTGTAGTAAAATGGCTTTGAGTTAAATCTCATACCCATTCGATCTGTAACTGGACAGTACATTTCACTTCCAGCAACTAGAAGACACTGCTTTGAGAAACGGTTAGGACAAGAAGGGCAGAGAGGACCAGAAGCTGTTCTCTAGCCCCCCCACCCCCACCCCCTTGAAATGGAAAACTGATGAATTTCAGTAAAACCTTAGATTTATATACCAAAATCATGGGACACAGGATACTGAAGACAAAACACTATTTTCAGGGTTTTTGTTTTTGTCCTGCTTTTTTTAAGGATCTTCGTAGCTTTTAAATAAAACTGAAAACCTCACAGTATCAGTTAAATGATACTTATATTTTAAAATGTCAGAAGATAAACTCAACAAGAAGCTATTCTAATCAAGAGTTTACATACAGCTTACCTAATACCTTAATGAGAACAGAAGACACAATGCAAGGGAAGAAGACACAGCACCATAGTTCCAAACAGTCACATAAAAAGCACACTAACAGAACAGAACAGTCAGCACAGACTAGAGTCATGCCAAGTCTCCTGACAAATAGGGACAAATCCCAACACATAAAGGGAGTCTGGGGATCTATTTAAACAAAAGCAAGGTAGAAGATCTGGTCAAGCTAGAATGGAGACGGGAGTGCTAACTCCTTGTGCTACAAGGAAGGAATGGGATTTATTTACTCAAAAGCAAAAAAGAAAAGCCCCAAACTGATTTTACGACTCTTGTCTTATGTTGCTGGTAACAGTAAATATATATATATATATTTATATATTCATATATGTATATTAAAAAAGGAAAAATAATCTATTTATAGAACAGTCAGTAGTTGGAGACATGTAGAAAAAAGTAAAAACAAGTCCTTTTTTTTTTAAATGGATTTACTAAAACCTCTTCTCCAGGGGGCCTCCAACCCCACATCCTCGGATGAAGCCATGGATGGCTCTACAGCACAGTGTTGCTCATGGGCTACACTCAGAAATTGCCAGTGCAGGGGACAGCAGTCAGTGGGGTCAGGGCTGCAAGGCAAAAGCTGTTACTTGCTGGTCTTGCTCATGGTTACACCTGAAGCCGGTGCTGTCTGAATACTTATGGATGACGGTTTCCCTGAAAAGCATGCTTTGCTGTGGCTCAATGAAACATTCTGACTTGTCCTTCTTTTCTTTTGCAGAAGCCTGGATCCAGGTAGCTGCTCTTCTTCAACTTGTACACCCCAAAACAGCCGACTTCTCAATGCCAAAAATGGCTCCTTGTTTTGAAATAAAAGCTCTTCTTCCCAAAACCCAATTTAGTCAGATTTTTTTTTTTAACGTAGTTCACAGCTTTTTCTCCTTAGGAAGAGAGATTCTCATTTGGAGTTTTCTTCTTGGTACAAACAAGCACACGTAGCTGAGGTCTACTGACTGTGCTATTATCTCATAATTCCTAACAAGATTAACTTCAGTCTTGTTGCTCCTAATTATAACATAAGACATTAGGTGCCCAGTAATCGTGGCAACAAAGTATCCTGACTCCTGTCCAACTACCTCAACTAAGGAGATCCAAACAATCAGCACAATACTTGCCGAGGTTGACCCTGGATTGTAAGCCTCTGGCTACTATCAACTGGCCACACGACACATCCTGCCCATCCTGTTCTCGCCCTCCTTTAGTACACTAAAGGTAACCAGTCACCCAGTCAAGCGCGTGACTTGAGTGCAGCAGACTATACTCAGAGGAACATCTGGATTGAAATACTGGCTGCAGTACCAAAGAAGACATCCCCTACAGAGTAGTGTTGATCGAGGATGTCGCTCGTGCAGTCCATGCACAGAGGAAGCCAGCACTACTAAGAGGACTTTCTCTGAAGGCCATTTGTCTTTGGAAGCAACATTCTGAGTGGTTCTAACCGCTCCTGGTGTCTAAGGTTTCAATGTGGTCCATTTTCCCTCATGTCCCAAACTAACCAAGCATGTGCTAACTATTCTCCTTAAGATCCTCCACTGGTAGTTTGTAGCCCATTATGAAGGAAGGAGGGGGGGCTTGACCTGGGCTATCTGGCCCCTGTTTCTTTTCACAGTTTATACAGATGTAGTCTTCATTTTCCGCCATTTCCGGAGACACACCCACACAAACTTGATGAAACCACTCATCACAGCCACCATCACATTGTACCCAGTCTACCTGTAGGAGACAAGATTGGGGAATGTTAAGGTCACATAAACAGTAAGCCTAGAATAAAAGCAAATCAAAAGCTTTTTTTTTTTGCCTTAAATGATAGCAAACAACTGGGATGTTCAGAGAGAGACAATGACTTCTTGTGGGGGTTATTTCTTAAAGAAAGAAGCTGGGGAATTAATACCCCCAAATCTTATTTACCATAGTGTGTCCACAAAATTAGGCCTCTTAGGTACGCCATTTCCTCATGAGTACCTGGGGCTCCTTGTGAGGCAGAAACATGGTTGAGGAAAACTTGACAAAAAAGGAACTTCTAATAGAGCAGCCAAGTAGTTTTAGCTAATATTAACAATTTCTAGGCTCTAAGACAATACAATTAACAATCAAGAAAGAAAGAGTACAATGTGAAGGCAATCCTGTATATTAGCTTTATTTCAAAGAGATAAGCCAAAATACTAAGAGCATTAAATACCTTTTTAGAAAAGCAGTCACATAGGCCACTTTTTAAACTAATATTTTTTATTCTTCTCTTCTTCCGTTACAAATACAACTCCCTATAAAAAGTTAGCAAATATCAGAGGTCAAATCTTACAAATTAACCAATTATAACAAGTCAAACACACAGGTCAATAGATCACTCTGGTGTTTAAAACTAAAGTCTGGAAAACTGCCTGGCCAGTGGCAAATGTTAGGTAAACTTGACTCTTCTTAAGACTAGAAAGTGCTTAGAGGCTGGAAAAGGACTGCACAAGGTGATGTTTAAACTTTGGATCCAGAGGTAACAATTCGTGACTTTTGATTTTTACAATTGAAAGATGACTTCGTTGTTTTTTTATGGCTAATGTGAAGATTAAAAGAACTACTCTCCTCCCTGATGCAAAGGCTGGTGTCAACAAAGGAAGCTACTTAAAACAATGTGCTAAAGATCAGAACCAGGTAAGGAGTATAAAGAGGTCAAAGCAGCAACTTAGTATAGGTATGAGAAAGGACAGAAGAGGGAAATTTGGGCTGGTTCAAAGTCATGTTAGTAGTTTTAGGGCTGTAATTAAAAAAAGTATGAGAAATCAATTGTCAAAGTAACCTTTCTGCTTCTATACTGTATTACCGTTCTAGATTTTAAAAGCTTGGTGTAGAATAAAGATCATTGAACTCATTCAGAAGTCCTAAATTCTGATGCTGCTCTGTCTTGAGCATATACCATATATACTTGAGTATAAGCGAACCCGAGTATCAGCTGAGGCACCTAATTTTGCCACAAAAACTGCATTAAAAATGTGCTGAAAACTCAGCTTATACATGAGTATATACGGTAACTTGAAGTAAGTCATTTAACCTCCTTGAGGATTAACTTCCTGATCTTTGAAATGGAAATAACACCTAATTTTCAAGACTACTGATAGGATCAAGTGAAATAATATATGACAAAGCACCTAGAGTTCAGTGTCTGGAATCTGAAAGCACTTTTTAAACATTCTGCACCTTGGCATGGGTGCCTAGAGTACTACTTTTCAAAATGTGTGACCATCTGCATCATGAACACTTGTTAGGTTTGCCAAAAAAAACAAACGTTGCTGGAACCCATCCCAAACTCACTGACACAGACGAGGTGAGAGCAGGGACTGGCAGTGGAGAGAAAGTCCCGAGTCTTCCGTTTTAACCAGCTCACAGGTGGTTTGCATCTATATTCTAAACATGAGCATTACTAGCTCTTTGGAATACTGCTTCCTTTCAATTCAGGGCAACTTAATTCCTTCCTAGAGAATTTCAACCTTTGCATCATGTCTAGTATTGATCAGAATATGAGCTGTTGTGGCGAACGATAGCAGAACTAGCAGAGGAAGACAGTGGCTCTGTGCCATGAAGTAAAAATAAAGGCACTGCAAGCAGGTGAAGATTAACAAAGGGCTAACTGGACCCTTTGGGGTCGCTGTGAGTCAGAATAAACTCCGGGGCCACAACAACAGCATCAAGTGGACAGCAGGGAGTTGTCCTGGAGCTGGTAAAGTAACAGTATTTCTCAGTGGGAAGATGAACTGTGTTTGTCTGGGTTGCCCAAGTTTGCAAAATTCTCCTGTTAGTGATGCCACCTCTATAAACCTGGGCTTTGAACCAGTTTGATACCTCTCCCAGTTTGGCAACCCTTCAGCGTGTCTGGGGTGGAAAGGTAAGTCAAACCAGAATGACCTGATCTCAAGCCCTGCCCTACACCAACAGATACCTTTATCTTATCAACAGTCAAAATTCACACCAATCCCCATTTAGGCTAATCCCTAGGACAAGAAAGATACCAATGTAGCAGGATTTGCTGCCAGGAAAATAGTTCAGTCTTTTAAAACAGCCATATGTCTGCATTATACTTAACTGGCTTCCAGTTTCCCCAAAGATCTATTATTCTCTCTCCGATAAAGAAATTTATGGTAGCATTTTCTCTTTGGGGATTTGGGTTAGAAATACCTTGCTAAACTTAATGAGCTCTCATTCCAAGAGTAAGCAGCTTCCTTCCTTGAAATAGTCACAGGTACATAGACTTAGCTATCTTGGTCTACAAGTTAAATAATTTACTGATATCCTGGGAGGGAAAAAAACCATCTGTTACTAATTTCTTTTCATCATGTTAATTCACTAACAATCATATTGGACTTCTACTTTTGCCTGAGTGGGCCTACAGGACCATGAAGGAGATTACAGCATAGAATGTCAATTGATGCCGCAAATTCTGATACAGGAGCAACAGATTCTACAATAGTAGCTTGAAAACCCAAGAACACAGAAGTTGCACAGTAAGTTCTAAAACTCATTCCACTTTACATTCTTGTTGGGAGATGTGCTTAGTGAATAACAAAATTAGGTATTTAAAAACTTCACAGCTTTGGCCTATTCAAATATTAACTGATAAGAGATCTTAAAATATTAATCAGTTTCTGGGTTCAGATTTGGGTAAAATATATTTTAAGTGAGAAATATACTAGCTAGAGGAACTAAATACTATGCTTGATGCTTCATGGTTTGGTTTCAATCAGATTTAAGGAGAAATATTTGGCACGTTACTTTTTTGTTCATTTCTTGCAAGTGATGAGCTGATGGTTCAGTGATATTCTTAACAATTACTCCACTAAGCTTTTGTTATTCTGGAATCGATCTCTTATACACCAGGGTTCCTTGCAAAACTCAGATTTGAAAAGTGAAAACAACTCCTTTAGTGAAACAATAAACAGATGTTCAGAATCCTTGAATTTTGTTGGTGTCCTGAAACACATCAGGTAACTAAATCCCTTCCTTGTTTGCCCAGGACTGGGCTGTTTCTCAAGATGGAATTTTTTTTTTTTAAAGATGGAATATCATTGCTAAAAACGGTGAAAATCCCAGACAACTTGGGTCATCTGGTTACTTTGTGTGTGCATTACACACACTTAGATTCTGAGACTGGAAATCTTTTTGAGCGCAGACAGCCTCGTCTTTCTCCTGAGAGCAAGTGGTGCGACTTTGAAGCCCCTCTGTGCCAACAAATAGCAAACACGTAAGCTTGTTCAATCTCTCCTATTTACCATGTCAAAATTCATATAGCAATAGCAGTGAGTAAGGAAAAGACAGAAGAGAAAAGGTCGAAGGAAACAGGCCCCTGGGGAAAAAAAGGAGGGGATGGTGGCAAAACAGTGAAGAAACAAACATATTTTTTCAAGTAAAATGATCATATATATACTTCTTTGATATGGAAAAATACATATACATGTTGTTTAAATATTAACTCAAAAGTATATGCTTTCAAGTCAACTTGCGTTACTCTTGGTACCAGTAAGACTGAATGAGAGAGACAAAGATCAGAGAAAAAAGATTGTGAATTTTAAACCTAATCTTTTGGAAATAATTCTTCATTATTTTTAAAGTCAATTTCAACTGGAAATTAATTTGATAAATAATGAAGAGAACTAATTATTTTAAAAAGACTTTTTCTCAATTTCATATTGGGGGGCGAGTCATAATAATTACTGGCTTAGTAAAATGATAAAGATACTTTTTCCTAAATAGAATGAATCACAGAAGTTATTTTTGTTGAATGACAGTTTAAAGAATATAAACTCTTCCCTAAAAAAAGCATTCTTGTCTTCATATGTGTTCTGAATACAGTTGCCACACATATATTAATCTGAACTTTAGAGAAATACAATGAACTGAGAAAGTGGTAAAATTACAAAACTTTCAAAGAAGTGTGCTTTTTATACAGTAACACTGGTATAAAGAAAAGACTTGAAAAGCTATAAAGTTATTTAGAACGTGAACTATAATTATGTGTAACGTTCATAATTAGAACATGTAAACAGGCAAACTCTAGACTCTGACCTAGAATAACGTGTTTGGAATTGAACGTTACAGAACTGCAAAGGCACCTTGATGGCGCAGTGAAGGAGCAGGCTGCTAACTGGAAACCCACTAGCCGCTCTGCTGGAGAGAGGCGTGGCCACTGCTTCCATAAAGATCAGTCTTGGAAACCACCAGGGACAGTTCCACATTGCCCGATGGGTCGCTCTGAGTCAAACAAAATAACTAGAGGATGGGAGGTTTCATGTGGGGTTTATAGACCAATCATACCAATTTTCTTCTTTTGATGTAACCTACTGACAGGCTAGCACACACACTGCTTTACCTAGATGTTTAAAGGTAAGTGGAGTTCAAAGATAATGTGTCCGTGTACTTCATGAAGCCCCTTTCTATTTTTTAAAACAGGCATTTTCTTTGAATACTTACATAAATCTTCATTTGCTCTCTCAAAATGTATAGCGTTACTTTCCAAAAACAAACAAAAAAATCTTTTTAATGCTTTAAATGTTAGGAGTGAATCCCAGATCTCATATGAAAATAATGATCAAAGCTTAACGTTTACACTGCATTTTTGCCTAACAAATACTTTCATATAGATCAACTCACTTTATCCTCGTAAGCTTATGAAGTAAAAAGGGCAAGTGTTAATTGAATAGGTTGGTAGCAGATAGGGAAAAGAACAAAAAGAATAACACTAGCTATCTGACTTACATGCCACAAGGAGACAATGGGGTAAAAAAAGAAGTGAACTATATTTAAGATGCAGTTTAGGGTAGCAATTACTGAAGTGGTACGAGGAAAGAAGAAAAAGAAGGTAAATGATCCATGGTGAGTACAAATAAACACTGTAGAAAAGGTGATGGGAACGTTTTTTAAATCCCTCTATCTTGCTGATGGGCTACCATGAAACTAGTTATAGGAGAAATAAAGAGGGAGAAGGCTGTCAACGCTGAATGCTAACAGGTCTGTGTCCAAAGAGACAGGTAACCTTCCATTAGCCTCTTTAATAGACAAATTCAGATGTGAGTAAATTCAAAATGGAAGACACATACACATATGTATAATGTACCCACTAAAACACACACAGTATGTATAATATACGATAATGCTTATGACGTGCATTTTAATAGTGAACAAATTATAAAACAAACTACATGCAAAAATAAAACACAATCATATGTATGGTGGTGGTCCTTGGGAGATGAAATTATAGAATATTTCACTATAAAATTATTTTCTAAAAATAAATGGAAAGCCCCTAAAAAGTGTAAACCTGTTTCACTTCGTTTTGGAATGTGTTCTTTTGAACTTACACGTCAATGTTGATGAGGTGGGGCTATCAAGTGGAGAGAATTTGGGAGTAGGAAATCAGGGCCCTGATTTTTTTATTTTGCCACTAATTACCTCTATGACTTTGGCCACATCATTTATTTTCACTCAGTCTCAACTTCATGATTTGTAAATGAGCTTGGATGAGCCAACCTTTGGTCCCCTCAAACTTTAAAAATGTATAAATTTTTAAAAAGTATAAATAATGCATAAATAAATGTATTAAAATGTATAAATTAAAAAGTGTAACCTGTAAGAAACAGTGACATAGTTATTTACTCCATTCATATTTTCAAAGTGGGGATATAAAAGTTTTAAATATCAAGAGCTACAAGGAACGTAATAAAAATAATTTGAACAACAAATTCATTAACAATCTTAAGAACTATAACAGATGTGAACCAGCATTTTCAAAAAAAATCTATCTCAGAAAGTTATAGTTAGTATTGTCTAAAAAGAATAGACATCACTTTATAATACTTAAAACTTAGGACTAGAAAAGGTTTTTAAACATGTTCAAAGGTCTGAATTATTTGTTAATGACTCCTACTGAGTTTGAATAGTTCATGTAGAAACTTAAGATAGTAATGAACTGTGTTAAATGTGTCACCTGAATTTATATTTTATCTAAAATTTTTGAAACCGTAAAACCTTCCTCACTTAAAAATAAAAGGAAAACACGATTAAAAGAGAAATCTGGCTAGTGCTAAATGCTGAGGTGGGGTTTCCTGCACTTTAAGAGCACTAAAAATTTGCTTCCCAGGAGAAAGTCTCTGGATCAGTCTTTGGATTTAAGCAAATCTTTAGCTCTCACCAGCTTTAAGCCAAGAGTTTTCCAAAAATCACATTCCATTTAAGAGACTGCACACAGGCCTGAGTATAAGGTGTGGACTGAGGGAAGAATTAACCCTTACTTTTAGGTCTTTAAACAACTCAATGCAAATATCTGCCACAGTTCAGAGATTCCTGGCCTAAGAGTTTTTTTCAAGTTATTGTGACTGATAGACCAATTCAGTTTTTGGATTCACCCTATCAAGAAGACGCACCATTATTCTAAAACTTGGGTCCCTGGCATATAAAAAGCACTGCTTGAGAACGGTTATCACATACAGCTTCTCTCTGCTTCTGTCTCATTCACTAAGTTCTAGGTTTTCTGAAACACACACTTTTATTTTTATTTAGCCACTGATATAAGAACTTCATTATTTAAAAAAAGAAAAAGTTTACCAAAAAACCACAGATTCTGCTGCAAGTCCAAATCCAGGCGTCTAAAACAAACTATCATCCTATCAAACCCATCTCTCCATGACTACACTCACGGGCGACTTTTAACGAGCCAGGACTCACCTTGTCCTTGCAGGGCCTCTGGCAGTTCTGTGCTGCACACACTGCATTCTCGTCGTCAGATTCTTCTGCTCCGGACCAGTCGTACTTGGAGGGGATATCCAGGACTTTCCTCTCTCTCTTCTTCTCGGTGTTCTCTTTCACAAGTTCTGCTTTAGCTGCAGCAGCCTTCTCCTTCTTTTTCTTTCTCTCCTCTTCTTTTGCTAGTTTCTTCGCCAGTTTGTTTAGTTCCTTTGACTTCTCAGCACTTAGTTTTAGTTTCTTCTTTTTAGGCTTATCCATTTTCTTTGACTCCTTGGACTTCTGCTTCCCTTCTCCAAAAAGCTGTTCTGTCTTCTCTAGTTTGCGTTTCCGTTTCCTCTCTGAAGAGTCTTTCCCCTTTATTTTCAATGGTTTCTCCTCCATGCTATCGTCCTTCAAAAATATATAATTAGAAACACTTTTAAAGGAAGACATTAAAAAAGTGTTATTCTAAAGGTATGTAAGACTTTTTTTTGTGTGTAAGACAAGAAGGCAAAAATAATACTTAATGAAGATAAGTCAACAGCAGGAAAAAAATGACAAAACTAAGGTAAAATGCTTCTGTCTTTTAAAAAAATGTTTGTCTTATTGTTTAGCTTATTTGGAAAGACAGGGGAAAAGATAATTAGGGTTAGCATACCTGAGTAAGTAAAAAACTGCATCTACAAAATCACATAAGCCTTCATTGATAGGAAAACATGAAGCTATCGTTTCTCAATATATCCTCCCCATCTGGGTCTATCCACTTCTGAAGACAGTTTTCCAGCCTTAACGCTCTTCCCCCCCAAAGTGTGTGCCATTGGATTTCCACCAAAAGAGCAGACTGGGTATCCTCGAGGGACACAATGTGCTCCTCTTTACAGCCCCTTTGAGTTCGGAGATCGAGAAGAAGTGTTAAGGGACAAGAACAGGTCTGCTTGGTGGATGAGGCAAGGTTTCCCAACAAAATCCTACCTTGCTATCCTGAAGAACAAGCAGGTGCGCTGCTGTGACAACAATTCCTCAGTGCAGCTTTCCGGGCCTTTTTCTCAACTAAGACCTTCTTCCTAATAAACCACCACAATCACCCTAAATTCTTTAAGAAAACCTATCAAGAACGCCCCTTTAGCATCCACAAGAATAGTCACCATACTTTGTAAATTGACTTCTCTTCCATGATTAACTGGCTTATCAGATCCCTTCTCTTAATAGCTACTGTTTTGATTGAACTTTATTATTATTTTTTTTTTTTGAAAGCACCCTAATGAAAGTAAGACAAACATACGAGGGGGGCAAGTCACAAGTACTGCCACTAGGGCTTCAGTCCACACACGCATACTTTTCCAACACTGTTTGCTTAAACGTGTCTTTGTGATTAGTGGTGGCTGCAGACAAGACCTCTCAGTCTCATTAGGGTATGTTTAAAAAAGAGAGATTTGTGCTTTGGTTAAAAAGTGATTTTGAGGCCAGGACTATTATCAAATTTTTAACAAAACTCGAGTAGCTTCCTAAATCACTGAAACTTTGCAATAAATTTATGGGAATGCTGCTTCACATAAAACACCAGTTTTTAGATAAAACATGTGTGTGTTTTTTAAGTAAGTGTTCTTAGGGCCATCAGGAAAACTGAAGATGAATTCAAGGATGAGAGGTCACCTCACAGTGGCTGTTTTGGGGGAAGACCCCAAAGGACTAGCCGTGATCATTTTCCATGAAGGAAACAGGACACTCAGGCGGGTTTATCGGGAAGACCACACTGGTGAGCAAAGGCAGGGTAGTCACACCGAGGAATCGCCCTGTCACACTTCCCTTTGCCCTCACACCTCTGGGAGTGTCTGAGTCTCTCAAGGACAACAAAACTGCCCTTTGGATGGTGTTCATCAGACAGCCCAGAATTCTTCAGAAGAGAACTAGAGAGATGGTAACACTGGAAAAATAACTGATGTGATAAAATGAAAACATTTCTTTTCAACTTTGTAATATTGTTGCTATCCTACGAAATGTAATATTAAAACCCTTCATGGTAAAACTGTCAAGTAAGAAAATAAAAAAATACTTAAAAGCATTCAGTAACTTGATAATTACTCAAATGCTTTTAAGAAAAGCATTTGAAAATTAAAATTTCCACCAATTAGAGACTTGAGACTCTGACAGAAACCTAAGAATCAGCACAATCCAATTAAATACTGAACACAAATATCTTTCAAGGCTCACATATTGAACAAGACATTTACTCTCTCAATATGTTGTTTCCTTATCAGAAGAGATCATGGATATGAAGATAATGCTTTGTACAACGGAAAACACCAAGTTGAGCTATCCTCAATCTAATTTCTGCACCAAACACAGCCAGCCAACCTACAGTACGCTTAAAGTTTGTGTACCCCAGTTAGTGACACTGTACCATTGTATACATGGAAACAAGGAGGCGAATGAAAAGTATACTAGGAGACAGACGCCACAGTTACAGTCCAGGCAAACGTCTACTTCTTTCCAGGGACCTCCTTACTTATCTTCGTTATTACTCCCCCATCCCCTTTACTATTATATCCCATGGTTTTGAGTAGATTCTGACTCATAGTGACCCTCTAGGATAGGGGTCCTCAAACTTTTTAAATAGGGGGCCAGTTCACTGTCCCTCTGACGCGTTGGAGGGCCAGACTATAAAAAAAATTATGAACAAATTCCTATGCACACTGCACATATCTTATTTTGAAGAAAAAAAACAAATGGGGCAAAAACACCCGGCGGGCCGGATACATGTCCTCGGCGGGCCGTAGTTTGAGGACGCCTGCGCTAGGACCAAGAAGAAATGCCATCTACGGTTTCCAAGGCTGTGAACTGTACAGAAGCAGACTCCCCATCTTTATCCTGCAGAGCAGCTGGTGGGTTCTTACTCTTTAGGTTTTTAAAGACCTGTTAGTTGGCAGGTAAATGCTTTAACCATTGTGCCATCAAGGCCCCATAAACTCTAACTGCATACCTCCATTATATGCAGGAATCTGTCCTCAGAGGGTGGGTGCGTGGCCTGCAGAATCCGCCATATGTGTTGAGTCTCATCTAGAGATACTTCAAGGAGATCTCCGACCATCATCAGCTCCTCCAGCTGGGCTTTCGCTCCAGGGGTTAACTCCAACCCCGGGGGTTCCAGACTGCGGGGCACCAAAGGGCTCTTTCGAGGCTGCTTCCTTGGAGTGCTAGAACCTTTCCAGAAACAAAACAAGCTCTTCATTCTACAGCTAAAGGTGACAGAAACTTTCTAATTCAGACGCTCTCCATTTTAAAGTATACCAAAATATTGCGCTTATGAAGAACATTGAAACAGATCATACAAAACCAAACCCACTACTATGAAGTTCATTTCAATTCATACTGACCCCATAGGGCAGAGTACAGCGGCCACATAGGGATTCCAAGGCTGGAAAGATCACAGAAGCCAACTGTTGGCTCTTTCTCCTGGTGGAGTACCTAGTGGCTTCTTGCCACCTCAGTTTACAGATGGGTGCTTCTTATACAGAAACCGTTAGCTTCCTGTTAACAGGCAATCAAACACAACGTTCCATAGAATCCTACACTTGATTATGAGAAACATCCCCCACCTTCCAGATGTGACTGAAAGGAAGTCGTGTGATTGATTTCCACTGGAAATGAACATAACGGAGAAATTACCCACCAAGGAAGGAAGAACTTGCTAACAATTCAAACTTTGTAAAAGCAGAATGAATATTCTTAAAAACCATTAAGTTCCTCAACAATTGGTAATGATCAAATAAATGACTACCTGAGAGATTTTATAGAGTACGACTCTGAACTATTTCACGCTTTCCACGCTTTCCTAACTAAAATCTGCTATCTCTGTGGTACGCTCTCAGGCTATCCTAATAGAAAAGGCAGCCATGGCTAGCTTTTCCAAACCAAAACAGAATCTTCAGATGCCATTAGTATTTTATGACTAGCAACTATATTTAATTCCAAAAAGATTCATCTCATTCACTGTCAACAAGTCGGTTCCGACTCACCTACATCCTACAGGAGATAGTAGATATGGCCCTTACTGGGTTCTGAGATTCTAACTCTATAGGGGACTAGAAAGCTTCATCTTTCTCCTACGGAGCAGCTGGTGTTTTTGAACTACTAACCCTGTAGTTAGCAACCCAACGAGTAACCGCTACGCCACCAGGGCTCCTTGAAGAGATTTATAGACATGACTACTACATAGTTCACCTTGTTTAACAAGAGTAGTAGTACCTTGAGAACAACTCTTTGAAGCAGATGAATATGCATGCTCGGCACAGAATGAAGGTGCTGTCCACATGTGAGTTACCACTTCCTCAGACTTGATGGGAATCTCTTCATCACAAAAAAGATTGGGTTCTAGACTACTAGAGGATTTTACACTGGCTGTGTCCTAAAAAAGAAAGCAAAACAGACTATTTATTATTGAAATTATTTAAAATATTCTGTGGCAAGGATGTAAATGCAGGATTTCAGGTTAAAGCTTGTAATATAACACTAAAAAAAACAGCACCAACATTTTTAAAATTTTTTATTTTTTTTAATCGTTTTACTAGGGGCTCATACGACTCATCACAATCCATACATACATCAATTGTGTAAAGCACATTCCTACATTCATTGCTCTCATCATTCTCAAAACATTTGCTCTCCACTTAAGCCCCCGGCATCAGGTCCTCATTTTTCCCCTCCTTCCTCCTTTCCCCCCTCCCAGAGCCCTTGATAATTTATAAATTATTATTTTGTCATATCTTGCCCTACCCGACGTCCCTTCAACCACTTTTCTGTTGTCCGTCCCCCAGGGAGGAGGTCACATATAGATCCTTGTAATCGGGTCCCTCATTCCTGCAGTTCTCAACCTGTCAACTGACTCATAACAGTAACAAAATTACAGTTATGAAGTATCAATGAATTAATTTTATGGTTGGGGGGTGACCACAACATGAAACTGTATTAAAGGGTCGCAGCATTAGGAAGGTTGAGAACCACTGCTCCAAATGAAAAGAAAATGAACCTGAGAATGGGGGAAAGGTGTAGATGCGACACCTTATAGACACAAACTTCTCTCTCTTTTGCTGAAGGTTTTACTATCCAAACTAGAAGCTTAACAAATGCTCTTACTTGCCACAGTAAGACTCTGCTAGGAATACGCAAATTATTCAACTCTGGCAGTTCTCATCAAATCTCAGATGATGCTCTTACCGAGTTCATTTCCATACTCTCACTTACATACCGCAGAGCACAATCAAGAAGACAGTAATCACACCGGATACTGCGAGAGAAGTAACTTAATACAGGAAGCTGGTTAGACATGTATCGAAGGACTAAAATAGCAAAGGGAAACATCCGTGCAACATGGAGACAGCCACTTCAGGGAAGAGTTACTATTTCTAGGGCTTAAGGGCGGGAGAGACCAGTCCTTGGAGAAGGGCATCACATACTTTGTAGAATAGAGGGGCAGTGAAAAAGAACAAGCCTCTCAACAAGATGGACTGACACAGTGGCTGCTACAGTGGGCTCGAGTATAAGCACAATGGTGTGGATGGTGCAGGACCGGCAGTGTTTTGTTCTGTTGTGCACAGGTGACTGAGTGCGAATTGGCTCGAAGGCACCGAAAAACAACCAAGAAACAAAAGAAAGGGGTGGAGTTAGTTATCAAAATTCAGATGCTTAGAGAAGGGGAGCCAGCAAATTGGGAAGCGGATCTCTCTGAAGAGAACACACTGCTGATCCGGTCAGTGCTACCATTCTAAGGCAGTTGACTTAGGGGTGAAGGAAATATGACTGCAAACTGGAGCAATTGCTACTGCCAGAGTAAAAAGCACCAATTCAGATGATGATGGGAAGGATGGGGAATGAACCAAAAAAGATCAACTCCCTCCCTTCCACTGTTCCGGCCTTTTCATTTTCTCAAGTGCCCCTGTGGCAGAAGAGAGCCAACAGGTAAGAGCAGAAGCTGGAAAACAACAGCATGTGAGCCAAACCCAATTGGCTGTATGTTTTTTGCATGGTCTGTATGTGGCTCATTAAGCCTAAATTTTTACTATCTAGGTTCCTCCTCTCCCATTGTTTTGTTTTTTAAAGAAAAAAAAGCAACAGAAAGCAGCGTATAAAAGAGTACAATAGGTTAAGAGGTAAGAGATGATAAAGACTAGCCCCAAATCCCTTTTTTTTGGGTGGGGGGCTTGGGGGGCGGGCATTGCCAGAGAAAAGATCTACTATTATCATAAGACTACCTTATAGACAAAGTATTTTCTAAGAGTCAAGTACTGGTTATTCAAAGTAATTGTTAGCTATGAAAAAGACAACTTAGGAAGGAATGGTTTGTATGCGGAGTCTGGGAGACAATGTTCCTCATTTAGAGTTCACAGACTTCTTGCCTATTTAAGAATTTAGGGCCTGAAAGGTAAAAGAGGGGAGATGGCAAGCTCTAGTTCACTTCCCAGATGATGATTCCCCACACTAACTGAACCTGTCTTTTCGGACCTTGACTCTTACTCATTTCATGATTAACTCTGTTAAGTTTTCAAAATAAAAAAGACACTGACCAGAAAATGATGAAAAGTAGGGACAAGAAATAGAAGAGGGAAAAAAGAAAATCAACTTCTTCCTCTATGTGAAGTATAAATTATGAAGAGGTTCAATATTGATTCTGGCAAGATACATTGCAAACTCCAGAGAATCATAAAATAATAATGAGGATCAATGATGCTAATGAGGTATAACATATGCAAAACATACATATGTGCATCAAAAAACATTTATAAGAGTATTTCCAAGAGACACAGTGTGGGAATTGCACGCGATCTGATCCCGCCACACTGAGGCAAAGCACTGGGGGAGTGCAGCAGAACAGCAAGGGAATGGATCAGCAAGGTCCCCAGGGTATGCTGAAGGTGGACTTTGGAGCCAGGGCGTGGTGCCCCAACAGACTGGACTGGAAAACACTCCTAAAAGCCAACAATCTTTGAACTAACTACAAGCTTTTCTTTCTTGTTGTGTTTTAATTTGTTCTTTGTCAGTGGTTTGTTGTTG